AGCCCAACATCTCGGAAATACAACAAGACATGCCACTTATATGGGCCACATAGGTGGGAAACCATTTGTGTGAGAATTTGCTTGTTGGGCCAACTATGGACTCTGATACCATATTAGGAATGTGGCCTAACTTAATCCAAAAGCTAGCTCAAGAGTTAAGGGTTGCCACATCCTTTATATACTATCCAAAGATCTTAATCCCAAGCAATGTGGGACTTTCTAATAAATTCAATATTGAAGTTAAATGGATATTTAAAAATTAAACAGCATACCGGAGAGCGTTGCCCTTTTAAAAATTAAATTTTGAATAATCATTCGTCGTGAGGAGCTAGCGCTAACACAGAGTGTTCCCCGCGTTTCCTTTTGTGACTAGCATAATGTTTTAGATCTTAGGATAAATAATGTTTTAATTTTAATTTAAGAGAACGAGAAAATTTTATGATCATCATGTCGGTTTAGTATTGAAATTACATTCATAGGACATAGTCTAAACTACAACTAATATACGCATAACCTAAACTATATATAATATCCCCTATGATCTAAAACTACAACGAATCAGGATTAATTGTCTATCTAATCATATTAAATTTACTTAATAGAATAGCAAAATAATTTTCTTCACAATGTCACTTACTCCCATAACACCTAAAGAGAATATCATAATCAATCATTTTTTTTTTTTGCTAAAGATAATCAATCATTTTCGAAAACTCTAATATCTCTTTGAAAAAACCAAACAAATGAATTCGTTTTTTAATGTGAAAAAGTGTCACGCCATACGTACCTACATAGAGTTCAACTGATGTGTCATTACGGGATTATTACGGATTTTGCCCTTTTTTATAATGGCATTTATGGATTTTGCCATTTTTTGAATAATTTATGGATTTTGCCCCTTTTTAACACTTAAAAATTTACGTATTTATGATTTTTTTTTGCAAAAATACGTACATTATACCAAATACTAAACCCTAAGAACAACTGGAACCGACTAAATCCAAACATAACGAATGAAACGGATGTTAAATCATATTTTTGGAGCCTAAAAAAGGGCAAAATCCATAAATTATTCAAAAAAGGGCAAAATCCATAACTGTCATTATAAAAAAGGGCAAAATCCGTAATTAATTCGTGTCATTACAGATATACGATTCACAGGCATGAAGGGCTTTAGAAACTAGCAAGAAATATGGCATCAATTAGAGATAATATTACAAAAAGACTTTAATATATGAACCAAAACATGAAATCTTGAAAGAAAATAAAGAAATTAACAATTAAGATTTATTAAGGAGAAGAAGAAGAATCAGAGAGCAATTGGACAAATGTGCATGATGCAATATCTCAAACGTTGTCGTTTTGCTCGGCCTGTTCGTTTGGTTGTTTCTTAAACTAAAAATAATTAAGAGGAAATAATAATTAAGAGTGATGAAGAGAAAAGAAACAAAAGAGATACACGTGATGGTTTAGGTGTTTTGGAATTTGATTAGAGCTGTTCTTTTGTCTTGTTGCTTCCCGACTCTCTTCGTCTTTATTATCAACAAGTATTTAATTCTTTCATTTATCAAATTCATGTAAGCTAAAGCCTTTTTAATCATTTATATATTTGTATCATGTAATTTGGCCATTTACAAGTTTTGTTTGCATCATAAATTTGGACGTTAGTTGGATAGATTTAATTTCATTATAAAATGTTGTATGGAATTCATCTCATCACAAGTTTCTGTGGCATTGGTAAGCTGTAAATGCCCGCGCATGTGGTAGAGGAAATTTTAGTAAAGGGTAAAACTTTTAGACTCAAATTCATTTTTTTTTGGAAATAAAAACACAATTATATGGAAAGTGTGTTAGTTAAAAATGCATGCGGTCTAATTACTCGTTGGCATTAGTCGGAAGACACTCCAAACTCGGATCATGCAGTGTGGTGGCCCAATTCTAGATCTCATGGATCTCATGATCCGTTCAACCCGAGTCTGCTCGGAGCTCATGGTGTCCGTTGAATCGTTAGACCGTTAAACCACGAGAGTAGTCCACTCTGTAGCACCTTGGTGCGTTTTTACCGGAACTGATCGGATTAGCCGATGGAATTTATCAAAAGAAAAAAAACTTAAATTATATTATCGAAATTTAGACTGTCAAGTGTTAACAAGGTCTAATCTTTATTTGTTTGTGTTATTTTAACAAATTTATACATATTATTATTAGGTGAATACCCGCTTTACGAACGGATTTTTGCTTTATTTATTTTTTTAAATTAATGTTAAATATTTTTGTTGATTAATATTGTTTTTATTAGTGTTATTAATATTACTTTTTTAGACATGGTATTTCCTCTTTTATAATTTATTTTTTTTGATAAAAATAAATTATAAACTTATGTCCACAATAATAAATTAGGAGTGAACAGAAAAACTTGTCCAAAAAATTAAACCAAACCGTAATTAAGCTTTTCGTTTTGGTTTCGATTTCTTTCAAAAATTTGTTCGGCTAGAATTGTTTAAAATATTTGGTTTCGGTTCGGTTTGGTTTAAAAATGTAAAACCATTCATTTTTTTTTTGTTTATAAATTTTTATTATTATAATACCATTTATTTGGTAAACTTTTAATTATTTTTGAAAAATTCTTTTCCTCTTTTTGGTAATATAAGTTACATGAATATTTTTTTGTAGTTTATCTTTTATAGAAATTGTTTTTCATAAAAAAATATACTAAATATTGGCATTTATTAAAAAGTTACAAACGACGAATTTATTGACTTTAATTATTATACGCATCACTCACCAGCAGCATGCTTCCATTTGACACCCTCTTATTAACATCTTCTTAGCTCTCGATCAAGTATTTAACATGTAGTCGTGTGTTCTTGACTCAAATTTAATAAATACTAGGTGATCATCCATGTTATGCCGCGGGTTTTTCGATTTTTTTATTTTGTTTTATTTAATGGAATGTTTTGATAAATGTAATTTTTAATTTTCTAATCATTCACTCATGCAATCAAAACTACTCTTACTGTGAATTTGTTTTTTTCTACCAACCTTCTGTATGAATTATATTAGTCGTTTAATTCCCAAAATCGGACAAAAAATAATGTTCCTCAAGAGTTTCTAAAATTTCTCATAATTAAAAAGAATATTCAAAAACGTCACTAAATTAACTGAGAAATAATATGAAATAGGAAACCCATATTGAATAATGAGTTGTGAATTGTGCAAACACTGTCTACATTAGTGTCTGCATACGTATACATAGCGTGCCAAACAGGTAAGATTCAAAGGATGATGAGCATTATTAGGGTTTTGGTTTTTATGTTTGTAAGAAAGAGAACATTCTTGGTTAGGTTTTGGTGGCCCATGTGTTTTGTTTTTTATGATGACTCTGGCTACACTACATGTCGATGTACAAGATGCACAAATTTCTGTCTTTAATCTTAAGTTGGACTCACTGGTTAATGACACTTGATGTGTACTTTGTTCTTGGATTTTTCTTACCCTCTCTATCGATTTGCTCAAATCAAATCCATTCCAAAAACATGACACGTAGATAGGACTGAACAAAAGTCCAGTCCCGTTCCGTCCGTTTTGGTTCTACAATTTACGTTGTATGTGACAATGTGTTCAATCAAAATCCTCTCTTGAAACGGGACGGATTCCATGGTATCTTTTAGAAATAAAGTTATTAAATGAATATGTTAGTTATTATATATATAAACTAGATTTTAACCCGCGGTATACCGCGGGATGATTTAATTTTAAAGTTAGTATAAAAATATTTTGTAAATTGTATCTCCTTATAACATATTTATTTATATTATAGTTTATAATTGTTATTAAGTAACGGTATACCACGAGGCCACGAGACAATTATTAATAAACGGAGGATTTAACCCGTATTAAAGCGGTATATAAATATTGATTCAAATTCGTCCGCCATATAAATCTTTTCCAAAATATAACTTATTCCGTAATTTCTTAACCCGTCCCGTGATTTATTTTTATTTTAAAATTTAATGATTATTTAGTATATATAAAAGTTTATAAATCATATCATCCTCTAAGGCTACGGGACATTATACCACTGGACAAATTTTAGTTTTATACAATCTTTTCTAAATGAGACTGATTTGATATGTCTAATATTTGTGGTATTAAAAAAAAAAGATTTAATCCGTATTGAAGCGGCAGATTAATAATATTTTAATCTTTTTATTATTGTTGATTCAAAAACCCGTCCCGCCAAACCCGTCTGGCAAAAAAAACTCATTTATTTTATTAAAGTTCTTATTTATGATATGATTTTGAATCATTGTCTAAATATTTTAATCGATGTAGAACGTTGAACACACATTTTCGTCAATTGGATAATATATGTCCGTTTTTAAAATTTCGAATCACAGTATATGCAGATTTTTTGTTTTACTTTATGTATTATATGATGATTCAAAACAGTTAAAACAAATCAAACAAATATGATAGGAAAATCATAATTATAAATCTTAATCAAATCATATAAATATCTAAATTATTAATTATGGAATATCCGGTGTATGAATTGGGTTAAATATAACCCGACCCAACAAATTTTTTGTGAAGGAATTTTAAAAACAGGTCGGGTATCCGATATATCCGGAAGCATTTTTACCCACCCGTCACCAAAGTGTTGCAAAAATACTAGTATAGATAAATTATTGTAGCTGTAAAAAAAAAATTATTGTAAAAACACTCTCTAAGTATATAAAATTATATCTTATTAATAATTTTATGTTATATTTCTGCCGGCCCTTTCTTGTTTTGATTTGAAACTCAAATACACATGAAAAACAATATTATTTTTAGTTGCAGAAATTTTCATTTTTGTATCCAAATTTCAAATGGAATAACAAAGATCAAGAATTTTTGTTTTGAAAATTTTTCTTTCCTTTTAAGTTTTAACCATCCTCACACGTAGTTATTAAGGTATTCAATTTAACGAGCATTCATATGCCTCATGTTAAGGCTTGGTCTAAAGCTTGGAACAATATATTAGAAACGTTTAAAACTTTGAAATCCAAATTCATGCATTTCACTACGAGAACAAAGGACACAAAGTAACCAGAAAACATACAAAGGATTTAGATAGTAATGTTGTTTCTTAGATGGGATTTTTGTTGGTAATGACCCAATTTGAAAAGGAATCGAGAGTATTCACATCTGCTCTGTAATGTTTTTGAGTGAACTCAAGGAACATAGACCAAGTGAAGTCAGGGTATTTTCTTGTTGTCATCTTCTCCAAAATATCACTTGGTGGTTTCACCACTTTGTCTTTCTTCGGACACAAGAAAAACGCCATCGATTTCCTCGCGCTTTCCCTATTCACAACCGCTCTATGCAAACAACTCTTGAATATCCCGTTCGATAGAGCCTACAAAACCAAAATTTATCAATCATTTGTGTATGCGTAGCCAAAATGTATGTACTTTTGTAGATGATTAATAATTACCATGAAAGTGTCACCAATATTGACAACGAAAGCCTTGGGATTGGGACGAATAGATTGCCATTGATTGTCAACAAAGACTTGAAGGCCATTGACATGGTCTTGATGAAGGATGGTCAAAGAACTTGGATCACAATGAGGTCCTGTACCTAATGTGAGCTCTGGTGTTTGGCATGGAGGATAATGATTGAGCCTCATTATCGAATCATTCTCTTGGAAAAATCCTCGGAAATAGTCTCGGTTTACGCCTAAACTTAACCCCATAAGCTCCATGATCTTGAGTGATAGAGAACTCATTGCTTCACAATAGTCTTGATACACCTTCCTGTAAACAAAACCGGAGAAAATATTAGCTAAACCGGTCAAATTATTTCCGGTTTATTAATTTCGGTATAATAAACCGGTTTATTTAAGTAAGACTAAAAAACAGAGAAAATTAGGTTTTGCTCTGTTTTGTGGTTCTTGTTCTGTTTTAAAAGACACGTACCCAACCTGCTCGAACTCTTGTCCTAATGTATCGGAAAAGTAATCTTGAACGGTTCTTGAGCCACTATTCTCGTTTGAAAACTGAAAAGAGAGAGTCTCCTTCCATGGGAGCTTGGTGGAGAATCTACCGGTGAAGCTACTTGCGTAGCCACAGCTCTCACCGGGTTTTCTCTGAGCTTTCTGTTTACCGGCGAGAGGCATGTCGAAGAAACGTTCCATTAAACGTTGAGCGTCGGATATGAGTGACTCGCTGACGCCATGATTGACGACGAGGAAGAAGCCGTGTTTGGTGCAAGCTTCTGCGATGACTCTAGGAGCTTCAAGAGTTGAGTCTTGGCTTGAGAGATCGATGAAAGGGACGTTGAGCTCGGGAATGTCAATGGAAGGTTTCTCTTCGTCTGGCCAAATGAACTGGTTTGGGATTTGGGATTGGAGGTTTAGAAGGGAAGGATTAAAGATTAATGGAGTTTGGTCTTTTTCAAGATCTTGTTTTGGTTCGTGTTCTTTCTCTGCCGGAGATGTTGTTGTGCATAATATCGCCATTTTTTTTTTCTTTTTTTCTTTTTTTCTTGAGAGTTTTTGGGTTTTTTTTTTGTTTTGTTTTGTCTTGTTCTGAGCGAGTGTTGTTGAGGAGATGGGGGAACAAAGGGTCCTTTAAGTCTTTATATAAGCAAGCTTTCAAGTCATGTTAGTGTACATTTGTTTGGTTTTTATCTTTCTTATAATAATTTCATCTTTTTCTTTTGCCACATGGGATTTCATACTAATCTCTTTATAAGGTGAATATAATAGTGTCAAAATTATGTATATTGAACAAAAAATTTGGTTTCAATCTAAAGGACAAAAAAAACTAGACGACAATTAATCCCTAAACTAAATGCGTATTTGTTCATGTGCTTGGTGGTATTCATGCATGTTGGATTCAATCTTGATCTTATAAAATACATTCTTATCGGAATCTTGCAATCATTTCATGTATATACTGTGATGAAAATAGTAAAAGTGTGTGTAGATTGACTATACCACAAAAGTTTTAGAATGTATACCCCTTTAAAGAAATTGTTTTTTGATCTATTACTTATTATGAATTATGTTTTGGCCAACATCTTAACATTCTTTATTTTCCCTACAAAATAAGATTTTATTATCTATAACACATTAAATTCCTTTTAAGTTATGTTGATTCTATAATGTATATATACTAACAGATTTTGGATTATCACACATACTATATAGAATAAATTCATATTTGATCACTACAAACTTCACAAGATAGATATATCCTCTAGAATAAATTTTGGCTTCGGTCCAATAAACAAAATGCCACGAGGATAGGGACTAATTGGGTATTAAAATCACATCAAAACATATATTGTTTTAAGCAAACAAAATTTATAAAATCAATGGATCCTTTTGTTGGTGTCTGTTTTTATAGTTGGCAGGAGGAAGAGGTTCCCGAGGTTGTGTTTTGGCTGTATTAGGAGAAGTGTTGGTTCCATTTACTTATTTACTTTCTCGTCTTACATAGTTTGAATATATTTCTTTTTTAGTTGTTTGTCGATTTTCTATTGGATCTCAAAGAAAATGAAATAGGAGAAAGCATTAGTGTTTCAGTAAATAATAACTGAGTTTGGATCCAATCACAAGTAATAACTTTGGTCTGCTCTTATTACACTTTAATGGTAAGATATGGGGTCGATTTTGCAAACCCCACAACCTGCAGGATCTTTTGTAATTATGCCCAAATCATTCATGGTTGGTTCCACCAATTAAGACTTTGAAAAATTCGTAGATTCCTCGATATACTTACACTTTATCATTAGTCGCATTTATTTATGTTTGTAACTAATTCCTAACATTGTCTTCAAATTGATAATTTACTAGGGTAAGACAAACACCTTATGATAATACACACAGTATTTGGTCATATTTCTTTCTTCAATTTATGATACAAATAGTCAAGAACATCTTTTAAGGTTTTTCATATTAGTTACCTTCGACTCGAAGATGTGATTACTGATCTTATCAGGCACCAATGATTTGTAAGAAAAAAAATTGATTGTAACTATATGCATTTTTGTTTTTTGTTTAAACTAAATCGATCCGAACCTAAAATCGATATGAATTGATGAAGTGTGTTTATTTGCTTTATTTTGTCAATATTAAACCCCTCCAAAAAGAAATTTTGATGTAGAGTTGTGTTTGTAGGCATGATAAGTTAACTATTTTCTTCCCACGTGTGTTTATTTGTCCAAACTCGAAACTAATTTCGAACATGAAAAAGGACAAAAGAGCAGAAGAAGTGTTTGGTCAAGAGAGTTCTCTTTGCTTTCAACTGTTCTCGGAATCCAAATAGCCCAAGATTCAATGCTCCCCATTGGCCACTTTCCTCTTCCTCTCACTCTTTTCTCGTAAAGCATTCCTCAAAATATGAATCATGATATGGAAATTTAGTGAATAAAAATGTCCATATTTCCTTCTAAAATGTTTCGATGCTTAGAGAGTGTAATACATCTACTTGACCAATTAGGAATTTACTTTGTTATTGTAAATCCGAAAGTTTGTTTAAGGTGTTGAACGAAAAAAAAATACCTTGTTTAAGGAATTTGGAATAGACGATCAAGATCGAAACAAATTTGAGTTGATCCATTATGATGTCACATTTCTTCTTCAACTAAGGGTATACGACATTTTTCAAGTTTGAAAATATCGTTGTTCTTAATTAATTAGGCCCGAATCCATTGCCTTTTACCCAATTAGCTCATTAAATTATTCCTATTTCATCACAAATATACAATTAAATTTAAAAAATACAAATGGAAATTTTGGTTATTTTCATACATTTTTATTGTTAAACACATTTTTTAACCCGAATCAATTTACTGCAAGTATACAGTAACAATAGAAGTATTATTTTGAGATCGAATCCGTAGAGAACAAGACAATACACAAATAACTATATTAATATTTAAAAGTTTTAATCATGCCATCTTGGTTTTTTTGTAAGATTAAGAAAAATCCGGAAAAATACATGTAAAGAATTAAAATCTAATAAAAAAGTGGATAAAAAAATAAAGATGTATTCGTAGATGCCAATCCAAAAAATCCAAAATATTTTTGATTAGAAATCGATCAGACTTTTATCTATACCATCTAATTTTTGTGTGGTGATTTAACATTTGGACTAAGAACCTAATTGTTTGACCAATGGTAATCTCGGTTGAATCAGTAGGGTTTGATTGATATGTCAGATACACACATGAATATCAGAATAGCTGAATTATGAAATAGCGAATGCAATAGGACGGTAACAATTATAAGCTAAACATAAATGACTTTTTCTTAAAACGCCAAAAATCTACTATTTAGTAGATGAATGAACTTTCTCAAATGTAGATGAATGAACTTTATAAATAAATGTCATTTATGATTTTAACATGTATATTGAAAAAATAAATAAATTTTCTGTTTTATTTTTTATTAATTTTCTTTACAAATTTTATTTTTGGTCAATACATTAATTCAGTAGGAATAAAACTGTAACTTTTATGAAAATTTGTATTCAAATTAAAAAACGACACTTATTATACAAACAAAATTTAGGTTCTAAAACAACAACACAATTTTAAACGGAGATAGTACTGTTCACAAGTTATAATTTTGACACGGTCACTAATTTCATTTGATAATCAGAAATTAGTTCCCATAAGTAGTGAAAAATTATGAATTTTTTTTCTCATATCTAAAGAAAATCTTCAAGTAACTGTAGAATGTGGATAGTGATAAGTGATAACGATTCAACCACCAATAATGTCAACTCCATAGTGCGACAATAAGACAAGATGCACGTTGGTTACAAAGGTTTGTAGTGGTAATTGTCTCAATTCGTTATCTCTTGAACACCTCTGCAACTAAACTAATTAAGTCACTTTCTCATTCCAGAGCCATCACTACTAAAACTGTTTGATCTTTGTATATAGAGATACGAAGAAAAGTTTGCAACTTACTGCATCTAGAACAGTATAATCAAGTCCATAAAGCCGAAATTTCATTCCAAGAAAAAACCATTGACTAAAATATGAAAATAGAATAAAAACTCAAAAGTTTAATTGGCTTGTTTTCAGCCATAAAAATTGCAATCACAAAGACGATATGAATAGTGGCAAGTAAAGCCATCAAAATACCAAGTGTCAATAGCTCAATTGGTAAGGTATCTCAAACATAGCATAAAGATCGATGGAATTCGAGTGGCACTTGGGTGGAAATCATATAAAATACTCTGATCCTCGGCCTGAGAGGATGTACGGCGTAGACGCAAAACTTCTTAGTTATTCAAAATTAAGAGCGGAATGACCTATCGAAAAAAAGAAGACGATCAAATAACAACTTTTGCTACGCTGTTTAATATCAACCATGATTAAAATCATAGTGTGAATATTCAAATCCTGATCACTTGCCTCTAGAGTGAATATTCAACCCCTACACCATCATAAAAGTTGGTCAAGTCGTTTAAAATTACTTAAAATTAACGCATAAACCATTTTTCGAGTCTTCAATTTGTGAAATGATTTTAAGGTTTAATGAAAAAGAAAATACCAAAGAGAATCGTCAAACTCAAGGTTATAGAATTGTCAAACTTATGATATAAAATGATTTTATCAAATCCAGTTCACCAGTTGTAATATTATGACACATTGGCTTTGAATGGTAATCTATTGTCAAAGCGGTACAGCGTACACAGTTTTGACAGTTACCAATCACAAAAGTTTTATCAAAAGCGTTACCAACAGTTTCACTCTTAGCTTTTTTGTACAGTTTTTTTGTATAGCTCTTTCTTACAGTTTTTCCCTATTCCGGTAAAGCTTACAGCTCCAGCTAATAACTAAAAAACTTGTACAACTTTTGGTTACCAATGAGACCTACTATATCATATCAAATGAGCTCCACGTAGTGAAAATTAAATTTTGAGTAGAAGCATATTATTCAACAACGAAAAATTCAACGAATAATATGTTCTCAGATATTAATTAGTCGTGACAAATAAAGATGTCCAAAGTTTGTTGGGGCCATCGATTTTATTTGAGAAGACCAAACTTAAGAAAAGTCATACTAATAAATATCTAAAAACATATTATCAAATTTTAAAATAAATTAGAAAAAAACATTGTGTTACGATTTTGGTTAGGTACGGTGACTCGGTGAGGCAGGTGTTAGTGATGTATTTGCAATACTTATTACGTTCAAATTTAGTCTTTTTTAGGGTGGAGAAATCTGTACATTTTCTATTTTTGGAATTCATATCAAAATGATTATAAAGAATTGACATAAATAGGAAAGAAATAGCACCAAGACAAAGAACAAAATGATCTAAAGTGAGAAGAAAAAGAGGGGTCAAAAGCGACCATTTTATTTTACTTTCCATGCACGAACCAAATTAATACCTGAAGAAAAGAAAAAATTAGAGTATAAAAAAAAAAAAACACAAGAGAAGTCACAAAAGTATTGTTTGTCTTGTCACTTAGCGTTTCTACTTTATAAAACCACTAAACAAAGTCCCTACCATTCACTAAACGATGAAAAAACCCTGCTTTTGACATGACAATCTCACTATCAAAATATAACTTCTCTTATTCTTATCACACACAATAGAAAATTGCAGTTGCAGGTAAGTGTTGATATCTCCAAAAGAGATAACAAACAAACCAAAGGAGGGTCCTCTCCTACTCTCTTCTCTAGCTAGTGTTCCGTACAAAGTAAAAACTCATGTTCTATGAACTATGATCAGACCTTACAGGACGTACACCAAACCCGAATGGTTAAAACCCGAGGGAGAAGTGAGTGATGATCAGGTCAAAAGGACAGAAGAGATAAAAAGAAGGTGGGGAACAAGGGAGATGATATGTGCTTAATTGAGAGTTTCTTTCTAATTTTAAAAAAGAGGAGAGTAATCAACAAATGCTGGACCCTAGGAATGGACGACGTTTCGACATTGGATTTGTCACTCACAACTAGGACACACAACACAGTTCCCCATCCATTCTCTTGTTTATCCACTTTGAAAAGATTACCTTCTTTTTTCTCTCCTGTGGCATTATTGAGTGGAGAGAGATTGAGAGTACTTAAGTGATGACACTAGACATGAGGGAGCAGATATGATCTTGAATTGATCTTTGTTTCTTGATTCCCCTAGAAAAAGACATGACTTTATCACTAATAACGCCAAAAGCATGTCTCTCACTGTTTAGGATATTAGGATGTGACCAGGCGTTTGTGCACATAACAGAAAATGATATAGACAGGATCAAAACATGATCTTTAGTTACCTAGAATCTCTGTAAATAAAACCTACGCATAATTTCATTTATACCTATGTCCATCATCATCCTATGAACAAAACAACAGACTCTTGCAAACACATGTGTTAAGTCGTGGCGAGTGAGTGATGGGCTCCTTTAGCTGAATATTGAATATTGAAATAGAACAGTTCTAGATTCCTCCCTTCCATTTCTTTTTTTCTTTCTTTCTAGATTCTAAACAAAATATCCAAGAACATTGATATTGTGGTGTGTGTTATAGTGGAAGTCTTACTTGAACAGCAAATGGAATGGTCTTTGAATGGCCATTGGGAGATGGTCTCTTCCATTGTCAGCTAAAGGAGCCTGTCAATCACATAGATGAAAAAAAACAAGTACAACTTCTCTGCTTTCTTATCTACCTGTGTCCCTGCAACTTAAAATTCACTTGGTCTCCTCCATGGAAAAAGACACACCAATGAAGAATGCGCAAGAGATAATAATTGAGTTCCAAGAGTCCAATAACAAGCAGCATAAGAGACGACTGTGCTCATCATAAAAGTACATGACCGTGCGTGAGGTAATCCAGGCGATAGCAAATAATTATCTTTAAGGACTTGGATTGCCATACCATATATCTCATCGGAAAACATGACTCCGACTCCACAAGTTAAGGAAAAGGAATCCTTTTATTCATGTAGAAAGACGTATTAAGTTATTATATATGTTACACTGATAAGCATTTCATTGCTCTGGAATTTTTCAAATAAACATGGCAGACAAAACTGAAGTCAGGAACCCAACTTGCCTCTTCAAAAAGACCATGTGACACAGGATTTTATTCTTCATGTAATGACAGTGGGCTTCTCCCTCCCTGTGAAGTCCTTCAGCTTTGATACAGACAATGCAAGATCTGTAGCATGACAATGAGATGAATCATTACTAAAATCAGAACTGGGACATCTTTTTTAAGTCTCCGGAAACAAAAACAAGAACAAACCAATTAAAGGTTTTAGAGCTATTTGTGCATCCACATCATGCTTTGAAACGTCTGGCTCATATTGTTCAATGTATATTCGAACTGTAGCTCCAGCTGAACCAGTTCCCTGGAACAAAGAATTTTTACGTTAGTTCACTGTGATAGGGGCCAATGTGTCTCAATACATACAAAACTAGGAATTTGAGTAAGGAAAAAAGAAAGAATCTACAACA